AATAGCCTAGCGTCCTTATTGGTCCTTTTTCCTCCTAGCCTTGTCAGTTGAGTCCAGAAAACAAATACCAGCTTTAGCAATGTGCATTATTTATTTCAAACATACCTGGTTTATATAAAAGCCAGACATACAACGTCATATCATAAAATAGGAAATAACATTTATACAAGATCAAGTCAAATAGTGATTGTAACCAATGAACAGAACATAGTTTAGGGATAGTAAATCGTATAATAACAGTCTATATGTCAAAATAAAGCTTACAATAAGAGGAACATGAATATGTATAATGTAATTACTTAACGATTTCACAATAAGAATATATGTATAGTATTATTCCATAAATAGATTCCAACAGTAACTATTCATTATTTTCGTCGGGATAAAACAGGAGTATCAGAAATTATTAGGCGTACATATTACCCAAAGTTCTTAAATATTCGTTATTAGTTGCGCGAACCCCGATCAGGTAGTCTACGTCTACTAACATGACACGGACCAACAGTTAATCAATTCATGAACTTATGCCACGTTTTGGTTTGGTCGCCTGCGACTTTCCTCCTTGCTACTTCTGAACTAGCAAACATTGTTCGTCGTGGTAGGCAATAGTTAGGCATACAAACCATCTCAGTCGATCAAGATTAATTACCTCATCAGTTGATCTGCCACCTATGCCTAACTTCAACACTGCTCACTCGTCCGGTCCACGAAACTAGAGCAATGCTCCAAAGACAGCCATGATCAAAATCTTGCAGCCTATGCATGTCTTCCATTTGTATAGACCATGTTTCAGTCATAAAGTAAAAGACTGATCCTTACTATACGAGCACGCTGGTTGGCAAACGTAACACATGTCCTAATTACCTCAATAGATGAAGGTTCACAATTGACTTGCCATATATACATAATGCCTGGAGTCGAACTCCAGTATCGCTGACTCGGTGGTCCTAGCACGCTTTGAAACAGCTAATGACCAAACACCAGTGATTCAACAATATCTCTTACTTGTAAATTCCATACTTCGAATCCATAATTAAAAACAGGGAGAAATGCTGCACCATATACTCGTCCTTTAATTATCAAACAGTTTTCCTATCCACGTTCTAGAAGATTCAAGTGGACAAAGCCAATCGAATCCCCGAGTACGCACCAAGACGTCACTAACCCACCTGGGACGATGTCAGTGATCTGCAACGTAGGACCAGGCACATATATACATCGGTCAAAGTTGCCAACATCATTAGCACAACAAGATGGACACCAAATTCATAGAAGCAGTCACTTGAGTGGTATTAACACATGAAAGAAAGACTGTGTATAAGGATATAACACAAGAAGAAAGAATTAGTTCGTATAAAGAAAGGTACAAAGCAATTTTAATACCCCAGTTTAAGGAAAGACAAAGTGTGTAAGCACCTACACCATTGTGGTCGACTCTGAGCCATGTCACACAGTCTCCAATCATTGGTTATGATAGTCACGCGGAACCCAACCAAGTAATCTGCATATACCAACATGGCTGAGACTAGAGAATAGTGACTTCAAGGACTGATGTCACGTTTTTGGTTTGGCCGCCCCAACTTTCTTCCAACTGTCTCCAACATTAGCCAGCACTGCAAGTCGTGGTAATCGGTGTTCAGGCATACGTGACACGTGACCCAACCATCTCAGTCGATGAAAATTTACAGCCTCATCGAATGATTTACCATCATTCTCTAATATCCAGCATCTAGCCTCACCATCACTTACCCGGTGATCCCAGCAGATACAAGCAATATTTCTAAGACATCTGTAATCAAATGCTAGTAGCTTACGAGTATTTTCTACTCTTAATGGCCACGTTTTACAGCCGTAAAGTAGGACAGAACGAACTGCTGCGCAGTATACTTGTCTCTTAATTGATAGACGGATATCTCACCTTCGCCATAGGTGACGTATGTCGGCAAAAGCCAAACGAGCTTTTCGGATTCGTGCTGAGATTTCGTCAGACACCAACCTATTAGGGTTGATCAAACTTCCAAGATAAGTGAAGTTGTCGACACGTTTGACTACTTCACTTCCTATCTATAGTCCAGGTGTTGACACAGGCCGGTCCTGAAGCAACAACTTGCATTTAGAAGGGGAGAAACACATCCCAAACATCCTGGCATTGTTGCTGTGTTACCGAAAGGTTCTGCATTTTATCAGCGTTTTCACCAAACAGGACTATGCCATCCGCGTATTCTGAGTCGATAAGTGGACCTCGTGGAAAGAGATCAATTACTGAAAATTCAGTCGACGAGAATGTTATTTCCATCAGTAGGTATGTGATGAAGTTGAACAAAAATGGAGATAGTGGATAGCCTGGCCGCACGCCACACGGGGTTCAACTACTTCATCCGCATCACGGATTTAAACCCAGACCAGTCATGAAGAATCACCCTGCATTTAGAGAGAAGTTCATCTCAAATATGCCTATGTTCATGTATTTCGTCAGAGCCTTCGAAAAACGGGTCAATGTTACATGGCTATTCTGCGTGACAAATGATGAACCATTTATGTCTATGGAAATTACTTTTCTCGCTTCGAAAAACAATCAATTGATTCAAATTATTATCATTACAATTATTGTCATTATTAATACCATTATTATTACTATTATTGTCATTATTATTATTACTATTATTATTTTCCACATTATTCACCCTCCTTTATACTTATACAGCGGCTCGTCTCGCGAGGAGCAGGCTGGGTTTCGTTCTGGTCGAGGATGTATTGATCATATCTTCACCCTCCGCCAAATGTTAGAACACCGCCATACTTATCAAAGGCCAACAATCGTAGTGTTTCTTGACATCAGGGCTGCCTTCGATTCGTTGGACAGAACTGTTCTCTGGGATTGTCTATTGAAGAAGGGTGTGCCTGAGAAGTTTATTAACATCCTAAAAGCCCTGTATAAAAACACCTCAGGCAGAGTCAGGGCATACAACCACCTCTCTCCATTGTTCCATTCGAGCAATGGGGTTAGGCAGGGTTGCCCAATCTCATCATTCCTCTTCAACTTTGCCATCGATGACATTCTGGAAACAGCTCTGGTGGATGTAAGTAATGGTGGTGTGGATCTGTTACCTGGAGAAAGACTTCTCGACCTCGAGTATGCGGATGATATTGTCCTACTGTGCGATAATGCCCAAGCCATGCAATCCGCACTTAATCAGTTGGCAATCAGTGTCCGTAGGTATGGTATGTGCTTTGCACCTTCCAAGTGCAAAGTACTTCTACAAGACTGGCAGGATCCCAATCCTGCACTCACTCTGGATGGTGAGCAGATAGAAGTAGTCGAGAAGTTCGTGTATCTAGGCAGCTGCATAAGTGCTGGCGGGGGTGTGAGTGATGAGATCAATGCACGAATAGTGAAAGCCAGAGCGGCTTATGCCAATCTGGGCCACCTTTGGCGCCTTCGTGGTGTTAGTCTGGCTGTAAAAGGTCGAATATACAACGCGTCGGTGAGAGCAGTTTTGCTCTATGCTTGTGAAACCTGGTCTCTCTGAGTTGAGGACGTTAGACGACTCTTTGTGTTCGATCATCGCTGTCTCCGAAGGATTGCTGACATCCAGTGGCAACACCATGTCAGTAATGCAGAGGTTTGGCATCGTGTGTTCGGTCACAGAAACGATAATTCAATTGATGTCACCATCTTGAAACACTTCGGTGGCTTGGACATGTTCTACGAATGTCGTGTCAGAGAATTCCACGTTGTGCATTATTTGCCGACTCTGAGACTGGTTGGAAGAAGCGGAGAGGTGGTCAGTGCATGACATGGTGTCGTGGCATGAAAGAAAGCTTCAAAGGACTGGTTTTTATTGGTCCTTCACGACTCCCTGGTTGGGGTCTGAGAGATGGTGCTACACAGTGGCTAGAGACGTTAACATATATGGCTCAGAATAGAAGCCAGTGGCGATCTTGCTGTAACCTTCTTTTACTTTCTTCATAAAAAGTGGTTGTGTCTCCCTTACCTGAAAGATTTCTTCTGATTGTACCTTTCCGTTCTCTCGTTAATACCACACTACCTTACACCAATCTCTTCGTTATTGTTCTCTTTTTCTTTTGCGCTCCTTAGTTTTTTTTTCTACTTCTCTTCGAATTCTCATTGTTTTGTGTGGCGCATATATATTGGCGCTCTCTTGTACCAATATTCATGTGACCTAAATGAAGTGAAACGAAATTCGAAATCGCGAACGAATGACTGAAGCAGAACGGTTTTTATTAATAATTCATCAGGTTAGCTTGATCCCTATGGGATTAGGCACGAGATAGTGCAGATCTAAGGAACCCAAACTCATCATACCATAATGAGATATCAACATGATGCACGAGATAGAAAGCATCTGCAATCGGAACTGACAAACAGTTAATGGCCTCATAGACTGTTATCATATTTAAAATTGTCCACCCACAGCTTTTTTTCCGATATATCTCTGCACCAACCGTTAACGTTACACAGTGGTTACGTGTCAGTAACGCATTTCCAAGTCATTTTGGTTGGTAAGTGTTAATATTCTCGAGCCAAACCAAACTAGCTGTTCATAATAAAAATAATCTTAAACAGCAGTACATTAAGTTGAATTGGTTTAATTGTCATTCAATACCCTACTTAGAAATAAAACAAACTACCACCGTATTTCCAGATTGATAAATTCACCTTGATCCACTGAGGGTATCTTTACTAAAGTCTTCGATGTACAATATTCGACCACTTAACATAGTCTCTGAGTAACTATGTCACTTATATTTGACCCCAAAATAAACCAATGTTTGTTTTGTGCATTCTGAACGGTTAAGTGAAATCAGTTCGTTTCAGTCACATTCAAATAGTATTGGCTTTCACAAACTGGTTAAGGTCTTGATTAAATTCAATGTTTTTTCAGTCTGTTTCTAAGAATATGCCTGGATAAAGCTTACTATGAGAGATTTCTATGTATCAATAACTTTGGATTCCCTTGTGAGAACTTTGAGAGTATTTCAAAACAAAAAACCTCTTATTGTTATGATAAATTCACACTATAAAATCACAAATAAAATTTTTTACATAGTCTGGAATAAGACCGTGGTAATATAGAAAGTTATAAGTCCAAAAAGGCACAAAAAATAGTAGAAATATATATATACCGTAAACGAATCACGCTAGAGTTCTGGCTTCATAGGTGTGGAAACAAACTCCAGGGAAAGACGAGTTAATGCAGCCCTAAATTTTCCACCGACATGTGATACTATACAGAATTATGTATAAACAGGACCTACCAAAACATTCATTTTTGTTAAAATAGTATTCCTCAGCTGCCAGTGGTTGATTACCGTTACCCTTGAGAATAGTACTTTAATCCGGGTAACTTACAAATGCAGAAGCGGTCAAAGCTTCAACAGGCGGTGTTACATCTAACTTGAAGCTTTGAAAGAATATGTAACTTGTTTGGCTACCAGAACGTTCCACAACACAACCGTAGCCGTTATCATTTCGAATCTTCGAAAGAATCATATGCCATTTCTACGGAAGATATCAAGAGAACCTAAATTACCTCGTTCGTTCCACCTTGACATTCATAAGTGAAAGTACATTTTATTCCATCCTGTTGTCAAATGTATTGTTTCTCTGTATATGTAAATACCATACCCTTTCAATTGTCGACGAGTACTTTTTACCACCTGGTTGGACAGAAAATTCCTTTTTTATAGACGAGCCGTCTCCAAAAGTGCTATCCAAACAGACGGCAGTGAGAACTAAAAGTGTCAACATGACAAATAATTCATAAATGTGATCATTCAGGTGTATTCATTAAAAAAATCAAAGGTCAGTCCAATAGTGAAAACACGAACTGGGGTTCAAATGGTTCAATTGGTTGTGGACGGAATAGAAGAAACTATCGGTTAACGGGATTCTGTGTCTAATAGCAGTGGATCGCCAATATCTCCAGACAGGAATCTAGGTGTATTTACGATAAAAGAGGAAAAAGAAATTTGTGAATCATAGTAAGATACTAACATTGGTCCTTAAGAATAGAACAAATTTCCTCTTAAAGGACTCCAAGTAGTCTCATGGATTGGCTCAGCTGGCAGCGAATTCCAGCATTTGACAACTCTTAAGGAGTAGAAATCGTGTCCATAGTCGGCTCTCCTATGTTTTCTGTCGTTTTTGGGTGTTACCTCTTAGATTTATGTTGCAGCTAAACTTGTGTAGGTGACTAAGTGAATGTCCAGAATTGCTAAGGATACTGTAAGCCATCAGAAGGTCAACTTTAAGATTCCTGTGCTCTAATGGGTGAAGGTTAATTGATTGGAGGCGCTCTTCATAAGGTTTGAATTTGAGTTCTCGAAATGATTTCGTGACTCAACGTTGGATACACTCCAGAGTGTCCTACTCCTTTTGGAGTGAGGGAGGAAATACTATGTTTCCGTACTCTAAGTGGGGACAAATAAAACTGTTGAAGATTATGTGGAAAGTTCTTCCATCAAACTGGCCATAATGCGCTTCAATGTTACCAGTGCAAGACTATCTCAAAAGGCATTTTTCTCACAGTTAGCGTAAAGCTTCAAATCGTAGGGCACCAAGACTCCTTAATCATTTTCGACTTGGGATACTACTAGAGAGGAGTTTCCTAAGTTATAACTGTAGTCTGCAACATGTCTCAGATGGACTACTTTGCACGTTGAAGTGTTAAAGTTAAGTCTATTGTCATTCGCCCAACTTCGAAGTCGAGTCAGATACTCCCGAAGTGCCGGTTTATTCTCTAAGTTTCACATCATCAGCAAAAATTAATAAGTCAGACGATATCTATTATGGAAATCGATTATATAAATCAAGAAAAGAAGAGGTCCTAGCACTGAGCCCTGGGGGACCTCACTAGAACATTCCATAGCCTGAGATAAAGTGAAGTTAACCCTGACCATAAAATGTCGACTTTTCAGGTATGAAGTGAGCCAATCGATTAGAGGTGGTCTAATACCCAGTCGTTTGAGCTTATTGATAAGACACATATGGTTAACCTTAGTAAAAGCTTTTGGGAAATCTAGGTAGGTGATATCGACCTTCCCCTTGTGATCGGGGATGATTGTCTATCTGTCTACTGCAGTCAGCAGGTTGGTTATACAAGAATAACCCTTCCTGAAAGCATGCTGTTGGGGTGAGAAGAAACTTAAGAACAGTAAATAGTCATTTATAACATCACATATCAGGGACTCCATGATTTTTGAAGGTATAGAGAGAAGAGCCACTGGTCGGTAACTTGAAAATTCGCTGCGTTGACCTCCATTGAAAATTGGTGTGACGTGAGCCAGCTTCCAATTTTCCGGTAGTTTGCCTCGGCCTAGCGAGTGTGAGAACATCACGCTAAGCGGTGTTGCCAGGATTGAGGCTGCTTCCCTCGGTACATCATAATGAACCATATCTGAGCCAGGAGAAGTGTCTTTACTTAGGTGCTGCAGTTTTCGGAACACCAAGTCAGCGTTTAGGTTCACTACGGAAAGTCCTGCTCAGTTGCAAACGAAGTTGTCGTCAGTAAAGTTGATGTCGGTCGGTTGAAATGTCTGGGAGTAATGTTCACTCAGAAGGTTAGCGGCATCACCGTCGTTATTGGTCGAACCATTTGGACGTCGCTGTTGGGAAACTCCAGTTTTGGCCTGACGAAGAGGGACTGCAAAACAGAATAAGCTTTTCGGATTAGATACAAAATTTGTTCACAAGCTTCGTCTGGTACTGAAGCCTGTCCTCTCTTATAGCCTTCGTGCATATGTTCATTATATGTTTGTATTGCCTGTACGCTCCATTGTTGTCAGTTCGTTTGTATTCTGCCCAACAGTGCTTCTTGCGGCTTAGCAGGAGAAGAGTGCGGTTCCTGTTGATTGTGGGTTGCTGATAGCTATGGGGGACTGTTTGAGGAATTGGCTGCTTTGTAACACATGAGAGCGTGTGCAGTAAGAAGTCTTTATGAGCATCGACATCAATTTGAGGGTGAACATCCCAATCCACTTGTTGTAGATAGACCTGTAGAGCTGACACATTCAACCGTTTGAAATTCCAGCGCCAGTTGTTGGTGGAATATCTTAGCTTAGTTTTGCTGACAAAACTGAAAGCTATGACGGCGTGATCGCTTTTTCCCAGAGGAGCCAGGATTGAGAGGTTGTCAACTGGGAATTCTTCATTTGTAAATACACAGTCTAAGCGCGATGACGCTTAACCCATTCTCAAACGAGTTCTCGATTTCACACTTTCGAATAATTTCATATCCACAATGAGGTTGAAGAGCCGAGCTTCCGTAGAAATTTCACTTCCAATATGCATGTGTTCCGCGAAGTTGACTCTAGGGAGGCTGAAGTCCCCTAGAATCAGGATATGAGTGAAACAGAGACGAGTAGAGCGGGATAGTCCTTCCAACATACGACTGTCATACTCGATGTCGGCAGTGGGCTTCCTATATATGAGTCCAACTAAACACCTCGAAGTAGCGGACAATCTTACAGAGCACCATATGGATTCCTCAGGATTGCTAAAATCGAGGTTATGAACTTGGTGTACCTCCAAGCAAGATCGTATGTACATGGCTACTCCACCCCCAATTCCTGAGTTTCTGTCGTTGCGGAACAAAGACATCCCAGGTACTGCTAACTTCTGGTCCGAGAACTGAGAAGACATTCAGGTTTCAGTTATTCCTATCAGATGAGCCTTATTAGTATTGTTAAGTTCACGTAGCTCATCCATTTTGTTTGGCAGACTCGCGGCGTTCATGTATAGGCAGTCTATGCTTTCATTTTGAAACGCGTGAGCTTATTCCTGTTTGCCTGTATGAGCCTTACGTGAATGGAAAAGTAGCCCACCTATATAAGGTTTGCCGAGTTGGTAGAGCCTGTCCTTTACACGTTTTTTATCATCGAAACAGTCCACAAGTGGAATGGTCGGCTCCAACTTGCCTGGTTCTAATGGTTGTGGACCGAATAGAAAAAGCTTTCACTTAACGGTCATCCGTGTCTAATAGCAGTGGATCACCAATACCTCCAGGCAGGAACGTAAGTATATTAAAGATAATAGAAGAAAACGAAATTGGTAAATCATGGTAAGGTACCATCCTTAGTCCTTAAGAATAGGTCAACGTGCCTCTTAAAGGGCTCCTGGGAACTCGCCTGGACTAGCTAAGCACTTGACAACTCTTAAGGAACAGGAATTGTGTCTACAATCCGTTCCTCTATGTTGTGTTTCCAGTCGCTGGATGTTACCGCTTAGATTTGTGTTGGGGCTAAAATTGTGCAGGTTGTAGCAGTAAATAAATCTCCAAAATCAATAACTCTGTAAGTCTTCGACATTGGATGCTGGCCACATTAGTTTTCATGGACTCACCTAGCTCAAGGCGCTCGGTCATTCATCCGCACCAGACCACGAGTGGGAAGGCCGTGCTCAAAATCCTCTACAATCGCTAGTTAGATTAGACCAGACGATCCTCGATAAATTGATAGCCTATCAAATATATCTTTGAAAATCCTCGCTTCTGTCTTTTGACTTCACTTCGTGGTTACAATTCATATTGGAAAGTGTTACTGGTTAAAACGTTGTCAAACTCCGAATATTTGTGGCATCTCCATTGGTGAGCCCGACGTGATCTGGTACACCAAATTGCAAGATGTGAGTCTGCCCCTTTTTGGGATTCTATATATCACTGCCTTATTTTAATTTGTTATACATTTTGATATTTTTTCGTGTTTTTTGGATATATATTTCTTTTTACTCGTTCGTTCTCCTACTTGATATTGGATCATGACGGAACGGACACCCAAGGTACCTAAGCCAGAGACTATGTCCCCACCTTCGTTTCTACTGATGCCCTTCTGGTCAGACAACATCGAAGCCTGGTTCTGTTATGCAGAGGCCGACTTCCACGAGCACGACGTGAACGACACACGTGCACAATTCCTCGCAGTAGTCAAGGCACTACGGCGTGAATTCAACAGGTACGTAACACCTAGCATGTATACTAGTGATGTTTCGGAACCATAGGAAAAACTTTAATGATCTATCCTTAAACGCGGAGATCTAACTGATCGACAAAGGTTAGAAAAAGTCCTCAATAATATTGACCTGCAACACGGTGCTGAGATAGACATGTTGCAAAGAACGAGAGAGGTTATCGGCCAAAAAGACTTCAATAATGGCCTATTCGAACAACTTTTATCCAAACTTCCCCAACAGGTGCAAGCTGTGCTAATCTCGTTTCAAAGCAACGCTTTAGACGAGCTGGCTGCATCTGACAACCGCATTTCAGAAATCACAAAATCTTCTAAAAGAAAAGCCTCAAACGGCCCAGAAAGACATAACAGAGTTATGTCATACCCTTACACGTTATTTTAAATTTCGTAGCGACCGTAAACGGCCACACACCCTGCGTAGAAGCACTTCACGTAGGCGATCTGTCTTTGGACCACGAGAGACTGATAACCCCGACTGGTGCTAGATTCATAACCAGTATGGAAAGTTCTCCAGAAATCGTAGTAAACCCTTCAATTTTCCGAACTCCGAACCGATCGACACGAAAAACAATTCGAGAAACTTCTAAGCCGGGACGTGTCAACGGCAACCGTGGCCGGCGAGCATAGCCGTCTATTATACGTCACAGATGTGGCGCTACCTCGTCGATACTGGCGCAGAATTTAGTGTTTTTCCTGTCACACTCAGGGGCACGATAGACCCATTCTATCAACCACTACTCCATAAGCATTCTGTGATATACCAACCACAACCGAAATTGCCATGTGTAACCGGTAACGCTACAAATTACGTCATGACTACAGTGTGACCTGTATCCTCGAAAGCGCGCCGACCGGCTCCCGAA